GCCTTCGACGTCGCTTTCACCTACACCTTCACCTCCGCTTTCGCCGTCGCCGTCGCCGTCGCCGTCGCTTTTGCTGTCATGTCGACCCTTGCTCCAAATGGCTGCCTGCGGTAGCCTGTGCCAGAACTGCCCACAAGGGACTCCATGAGACCCTCTCCTCCAAACTCCTCCTCCGTGTAGGCGTTTTTCTGTGGTCTGTCCTTGTGAGCCAATCCCAACGCCTCTCGCCCTCTCGTTGCCCTCTCGTTGCTTTCTCGTTGCCCTCTCATTTGACTCTCTCTTTCCTTCTCATTCAGCTCCACAACTAGCCACTCCCTCCTCCACACAATTGACCCCCGGTTCGGTGACCATGGCTACTTTTGCTTCAACTGCGATCGGACAACTGCGGCGACAGTCTCCAAATGCATCAATTTTGGATATTTGTCCTCGTCGCCAAGTTCAGCCTCTCTTGTTTCTCCTCGTCTGCAGTCAGACCGCCTGAGGTGGAGTTGCCCTTTAGTCTCTTCGTCAAGGTAACTAACCGATTTATAGTCATTTATCTTTTGCCCGTTTTAATGCATAGAGCAATGCCTTGAGGGTAATGCCAACTCGGTTAGTGTGTGTGCCAGACTCAGGGACCCTTTCCGGCCTCCTCTGCTCGGTTCGTCATCTCGCCCTGAGGACTGAAGTCCAGCCTTCACGTCCCTGCGCCACTTTGGAACACGAGAATCTGTCTTCAGCCTCGGGTTGGAGAACTTGTGTTTCAGGGAGGGGGCGAGGTGTGAGATAAAATCGAAGCAATCCAGGCAATTGGCTATGGGAACCTGGGTCCATGTTAAACACCACCGGGTAGACATTCATCCGCGGGCACATCTCCAAGCGTCTGTACATTTTAACCTATTTTATGTAGAATTTAGGAGAACCCAAAACCCTTTGAAAGGGCCAAATAATGAAGAACGTCTGAAAGCAACAGATGCCATGACAGACAGGATTGTCGAAACTCTTGGAGGATCTGGTTGTTGTAGAAGTCTTGACCCAAAGCGTGAACACGAGAGAGACCTATTTCGTGGCGAAATTTCATTGTCCCAGGCATTTTCACAACGTGGATACGCCTTCACCCACCGACGACGGTAAGAGGTGGTTAGATGAAACCGAGGCCTACAATACATGCCTACAATACATGCCTACAATCCACAATTACTCTAAGGTATGAGAGAGGACTGGCGTAGCGAAAACATGCCGAGAGAAGAACATTGCATCGCCAGGGTTCGAGTTCCGCCCATTGAAGTGTTGATGATACAGTCTGGAGAGGCTACAAGTGACCTCGTGAGGTAGGAAACCGTAACTACCATTCCTGCGTCGTGTTATGTGGACTCTGCTTGAATTTGAATTATGCTAATTATGGTCGAGAGCCTAAGGTTTCGACGATCCGAATCCGGAAAGGTTCGTTCACACTTCAGCTCATCAAAGAGGCAAGGGTTTAACGAGACCCGCGTGACTGCACACTTTTGACGACTCGTCTATCGGTAGATGAACAACACCTGTCTTGGCTGTGCATTTTCACCTTCAATGGTGTGTGCTAGTAGAGATCACCAAAAAGGTCTCGGTACTCAACTGACTGGCGTTCAGGGTTCCGGTTTGCTGTACTCCCGTCAACCGAGCCTCAAGGCAACCGGCCTCTTCGGGACTCGAACACTCTCGCCACGACGGAGAGCCAGGCTCTCCGGATCCGGCCGAAATCGGACCGATCGTCTGGAACACATTCATCCATGCCTCATCTACTCTTTGGCCAGAACCGGATGCTATTCGTTGGGGTCGATAGGCCTGATGCATATCCAGACTTGTGGCTGCACGACATTTGTGTGTATGTGTGCATGTATATATGTTTGTGTGTGTATTTGTGTGCATGTAAGCATGTGTACACACGCACGCAATGATACCAAAGTCCACACACTTACACAACTATGCACTCGCCTCATGCACACAGTTTGGGTGTGGACCTTCTCGTCTGGATAACGCAGGTCCGAGAGGTTCAGACTTAAGGGCCTTTGACTGGCGTGTTAGCCAAAGCCCTGGCAACTGGCAGCTCATTTCACCATGGCGAACAATTCACTCGCGTCTTGTTCGTATAATATTGATTGAATAAATCGTCGTCTGCCCAGTAGTGTGCATGTTTACGTGGGTGTACATCTGTGTTTGTATACGAGACAATATGAATAGACGGTATTTTTTATTTCTCTATTACTGCCTTTTCCACTGGCTGACCGGTGATCCTGCCCATCAATACATACATAGATCGTTTCTTCAGCATGAACATGTGCATGTACGCAAGTGTATGTGTGTATACAGATTTAGGTGAATGTGAATGAGAATGTAAATGTGTAGGTGTGTATGAAGACATACAGGCTGCCTTGTGGTAGATTCACTCAACTCCACTCCATTCCACTCCACGGCGAGAATGGATTGCTGTAGGTTTACTCTTGTGTTTTAGAGTGTGATCCGAGATCTCGAAGAGACTGATAGAATGCTGAATACAATTTTGGCACAGGGTTGGAGAGGAAGTACATGCTGATACGGAGCTAGGCGTAGTTAGGGTTGCCAATAGAGGCTAAAAATGGCCTACCGTTGACTTGTGCACTGTCGGCTGATCTGGTCAAGACGATTGGCTGGTTGAGGCGAGTCGTGATCCGGAGTGGGCTGGCCTCGAGTCCGGCCGCAGCTGTGGTCTGTACAAGTTTGAGACTGCGCTTCAAACGAGTGGGGTTCGGAGAGGACTTACGACAACGTTATTATCGTCCATTTTAGTCGTTTCGAGTGATGGAAGGACTGAGGCTGTTTGGTCGCCCCATCGGGACACAAGTCAGACGCCTCACGAGGCCACAGAGGATTCAAGTTGACCGAGTCTGACACACGAAAAGTGACTTCTTCTCCAGCATGTCCGTCTGTCTGTCTGCCTGTCTGCCTGCTCGGTATCAGCACACCCGAACGGTTGAGTAAGGCGTGTCTATTGGCGACAGGTCAGAGGGCAGATGTAATTGTCAAGACAGCCCTACTCACTACGTCAGCAGTAGTATCGTTATTTCTGTGCTGACAGCCATTGGCACACGAATTGTATGGCATGACCCGCTCTCGAATCCTGTTAAGGGGTCGCAGTTCAAACTGTAAGTATGGAGTTGTTGCATTCGACTAAAAATCCTGACACGAGAAAGATGAGCAAGTGTGCTGTAGGTCCCTTCTAAAAACTCGAAGCATTTACATCCAAAAGCGGCATTCTAACCCATATCTTAGACGTAAGGTCAGCTAAATTGATGCTTGGAGGAATAGATAAAGTTTCACTCAAAAAAATGACTAAGCTTCACAATTTCATTGAATTTCGATCTCACAATCGGTTTCGAACCCAGGTCATAGAGCGTATGTGGCTTTTGCAGCAGACTAGTCCCATATCAAATCACTTTATAGTATGAATTCATCGATGAGACAAACTTGTCGAATGAGACAGTAAATGTGGAATGATTCTGGTTTATTTTGCAGAATCCCACCACTAGTCGTGGGCTGATTTGGGTGTTTAGCTGTTGGTTAGGATCAACAGATAGTTTGGAAACTTAACAATCATCAATTTATACTCCCCTTCAGCTGAGATTAGCCCTAAACGCCCACTTACAGATAAAGAGATGGCCGATTTTGCACTACATAAGTCGTCGAATTTAGCATATATTTTAGCTGCATAGTTGGGAAAATACCATTGTGGGGCGATTCCATCTGATTTGGTAAATGTCTGCTCTTCAAAGCAAACTTTTCCCGGCGTCGAGACAAGGCTGACGTTGGCAGTCACTGCAACAGAAGTCACTCAACGACAAGCTCTGACATCGTGTGTTATCGCAGCTGTTTTTCGAGAGTTGCCATGATGAGTGGGTAAGGAGATTCAGTACCTTAAGGCCGCTCAAGGTGAATTAATAATGGACAAATGAGTTATCTGTGACAGTGTCGTGCGATTTCAATCACTTTGAAGTCTAGAACTATTTGACGTCGAAATCATTGATGATGTGGAAGTAGTTGAAGATCAGAAGAGGAAAGCTAGACAAGAGAAAACTATCCCCTTTCACAAAATATCAAATCGGTTTTGCCCAATGCTAAAAGTGTCGATTAGAGCGGAATCGTAGAAGAGAAAAGTAAAGGAAGATAAGATATAACAATTTAGAGAAAAGTCGTAAGAAAATCATATAAAAACTGACTCCTCTTTCATCACATAGCAAATCAATTTTGTGTGACTCCAAATTCGTCGATGATATGAAATGCGGAGAACAAATGAAATAATACATGGAATATGAGGAAATTCAGTCAAAGATCACAAGAAGATGAGAAAGAACAACATCTCATTCACCACATAAACGGTGGTTTTTTTTTCCTGATTCGTGGATGAAATGAGAGTCGGAGACGACAAAAGAAGAGTAAGTTTTCCATGTCG